ATCGGCTCCCGCCACTTTCACACCCCTCTCTCGTTCTCCCGCAGGACGTGCTCGCGCTGCTTGCATGTAAGGACCCCTCCGTGTCCCCATTACCGCCATCTTTTCACCCCTCTCTCCTTCTCCTTGCAGGACGTGCTCGCGCTGCTCGCGTACGAGGACCCCTCCTCGTCTCCGGTTGCGTACCTCCTTTCGCACAGCCAGCGGGAAGTTGTCGCCGACACCCTCAGCGCCTCCGTCTTAGCCCTCGCCTCCCCAACGAGCCGGCCACCCCAGTCCGCGCTCGAGCTGCTCTTACGGCAGCTCACGGCGTGCCACACCGAGCGGCGGCTAGTAGACGGCGGCCAGGGGGAGGTGTTCCGACTGACTCGGCTGCTGAACGGCGGGTGACGGAACCGCGCCTTTTAGTTACTCTTGTAATATTGTGTACAGATTGGTGGAGTTTAGCGGTAGTTAGTGGAGGTCGGACAGGTGTAAGGATAAGTTGGTTGAGGTCTGCAGCTTGGCGTGTGGCGGGTGCCAACGCCTGACATTCAAACTGCATCTCTAAGTCCATCACATGGCATGTCTAGTCGTTCTCGTGCTCAGGGTTGGCTTTTCGCGAATACTCATGGTTGTAGAGGTGATAAGTTGAACCCATGATGTTGATGACAAGAGCAAACTTGAAACCCTCTCAATCAATCGCATCGCCAGGCCCAGGGCACGTGATCCCGTGCCGTGTGTGACTTTAATTTGTCCGACTAGCTGGTCATCATGGCAATATAGATGTATGTAACGAAGCCAGACCATGTGCATTCGTCGGTGTAATACCCCGCTGGACTACGCCAGTGTACGTGGCCGCCGCCACTCGCGCACACTGCCTTTGATTCCATTGTCTGCGCGAATGTTGCCGAACCATCACTGTCATGGCGAGTGCCGCGCAGGCGGCAAAGATACATGCACGGCCCATATAGGGCAAAGCATTGAAGTATTCAAAGTCATTTTGAAAACATGAAGGAAGTTGAAACTTGAATTGCAAGTATTAGTACGTACACGCGTGATATGCTGCTGGCATCCTACTCGGACTTTGTTGCATGAGACGCATGTGGTTGTAACCACGGTAAATGTTCCAATGCACATGAATTCGGAAGGGAAGTCAATGCTGTCCGATCTCCAAGCTAGGCAACTGAGGCCGCCTTATCGATCCGAGTTGATTGAATTCCTAGTGCGCTGCGCGTTTCAAACACATAGTCGAGCAAACTTTTCATAGCATTAGGACAGACTCAGGCAATTCCAATGGGCATGCATGAAGATTGTAGGACGACTCAGCCGCCCTGTTCTGGAAGCATGATGCATGCTTCATGTCATTCAAAGTTGCCATGACCCGTATTGCTTACATCCGGATACTTTTGAGTTGTCTTCAAAAGATATCTTTGCATGACAGATTGTAGACGGTTCTACAGGCGAAGGTGACGGTCAACAAGAAATCCAAATGAATGTTTCGAGGTGTTAAAGATGCTATCTTACAACGAAAACCATGCAGTCTAGATACAAATTGTGCTCTACTCGCCCGTTTATTTCACAATTGCAAGTGTGATTGCTCAGCGTTCAATTCCTCAGGTCAAACAACTGCCACATCACTATTACCACACAGTCCCCGCGCATGCTCTTCCTGGCACCAAACTACATTCCGCTCGCTTCGCGCACTCCAAACCGCTCCTCGCGCAGCGCCCACACCACTCCTCGCGCAGCGCCTAGGTCTGCCCAGTGGCTTGCTGCGCACGCTGGCGGGCCTGCTCGCGCGCCTGCTGGGCCTTCTGCGCGGCCTCCTGCGCTCCGTACTGGATGCCCCGCGTCGCGTCCTTGGCGCCCTCCAGGAGGTCGGTCGCGGCCTCGCGGGTGCGGCGGGAACTAGAGAGGGACGAGAAAGCTGAAGTTAGCGGCAAGAACAGGAGCCGATTGGCCAGGAGAACGTCAGCGGCAAGAAATAGAGGAAAGTGACGAGAGTCATCGAGACAAAGCGGAGGTCAATCAGTCGCTTTGCACCACCTTCGATCGGCCCGAACCGTTTGTAACGATTCTAGATCAATGAAGAGCCGCTTTGACATCCAACGGACAGTTCCGGAACACGATCAGAGGCTTTCCTTTCCCAGCCACAGTTATACGTCGTTCAGCCATGCAAAGTCGTCTCTATGATTCACAAGGCAAAGAAGACAGCCGAAGAAAGCAGGTTGAGCCCGGACGTTCCCTCTTCTTAACGTCTCTGCTGACCGGGTATTGAAGAAACTTCTTTAATCACTTTAACTCCGGGTTTAATCACTCCTTTCCGAAGTCTTTGTAGAGACTCTCTCCTGACGCTAGCGAGATCTCTCTGTCATTTACATCCCACGCCTTCCTTCCGAAACCAAGACTTCTCGAAGACTGCTCAGAGACTCGTCACCATCACTTCCAGGAGTCTGTCACAAAATCTACCGAGATTAATCATCATGGATTCCAGAGAGCGATCCGTGTCCTCACCGGATGAAGTTCCAGACCCAGTAGACGACGAGCCCCAGCGCGATGGCGCCCACCGCGAGCGCGCCCAGGATGGGGGGGGTGATGAGCAGCAGGCCGCCGATGGGCACCCAGATGGGGCTCGTGATCGCCGCGATGCCCAGCAGCACCGGGCTGAACAGCAGCAGCGCGCCGCCCCCCAGCAGCACCGTCGGGATTGCCACCGCGCCTGAAGGGGGGGGGAGGTTTGTCAGTCAGTGGAGAAGTTGTCTTTTTTGAGGTGATTGCGATGTTGGATCAGAGTATGAAGATGTAGATTAAGCCCCTACTTGGAGGATATGTGAGAGAACGTGAGGGGCCACCGCGTGCCCCTTGTATGGTGGGTTATTAAAGGCCCTCTTCTGGACGTCTAAAACCCCGTCTTTTCAGCCTTCAGCAGACGCCTTAGGGAGAAACTCATATGCAACGTCTGTGACAAGCCAAATAGATAGCAAAGACTCAAGAAGCATTTCTGATGGTACATTGAGAAGAGGGAAAAGGAGTCATATAACGACGGCGCCATGTCACGGTGACGGAACAGGTGAGTGCTGTGCCACCAAACGACTTTCTCAGTACATGCTCGAAGGCTTTGAACTAAACTAATGCAGAACGTTTGCCCTCAACCGAAAGATCTTGTTCCTTCTTCCCCCAATGATTCTGATTGGTAAGCAGAACTAGAAGCCAGAACTAGAAGCCAGTCAACGGTAAATACAGAAAAAGGATTTTTTACGGAAAGGCATTACAGCATCACTTCCAGGATCATCCTAGGCGGTCTATTCCTTTTAGAAGACTTCCCCTAAAAGCCCGAAATGATTGTAATGGAATCAGAGACACGAGAGAAAGGAAATTAGGATGATCAGAATGGACCTAACGAAATATAACCAAGTCGATTGAGACACAAGTCTAGCGCACAACCTTGGAACTCAAGGAAAGAAAGAAGCATACTCACCAAACGCCAGAGCACCGAGGGTGAGCAACGTCAGGATGGTCCCCCCGATGACGATCCTGCAGCAATCAAATTGCAGACGCATTTGAAAGTTGCGATTGCAAACCAGGGGCTAATCAATTATGGTGCAAAAATGGTGCATTAGAAGTCAATCAGTGATGGGTTAATCGGATCTGCACATTGCAAACGTATCAAACCTTGTTGAAAGACACAGATCTAGGGACTCCGTGCTTTTATCACCTTCTAAGTTGCTTGAAAACCTTCAACCCTTTACTCTCTTGAGCCTGAGAGTATTCAAGCACCTTAAAAACGTTTTATACGTAAGACAGAGGAACTCTTTGGCTTATGAAATCTTTCTTCTTCAGCAGAAACTTACACATGCAATCACTTGAAGGAGAGATTGGCCCTCAGCAACCCCAGCAATGAGTTCCGTAAAAACTACTTGTTCAGCTTGAAGCACGCTCTCATTGATAGCCAATTACAAGTCAGCACTCTCGTCAGCGTCAATCGAAGCAGCCCCCTTCCATGACCTAGTGCTTACGAAAATCTGCTTGGAAATCTGTTTTGGGGACCTTGTATCAATTTGACCTGGGTGAACCAGCGCAAATCCCCCTCAAGGAAGCAAGATTGAGATCCATCAGTTGCTCTGCTTACCGAAAGGCCCACACGTCCCTGGGCCGCCATTCCTTCTTCTGCTGCCCCTGGCCGAAGTCCCCCCCGCTCTGCTGCTCCTTGGACGACATGCTGGCTGGCGGTCACTGATCGAAGCAGGGAGAGACGGATCGAAGCAAGCGAAGGGGGCAAAGCTTGGATAAGAGCGGCGCTGATCGAAGAGTTCTGGATCTATCAAAGTGCGAATGGACGGGTTCTGTAAACAAAAGCACGAGCTTTCTAGTCCTGCGCTGGTGTTGCTGTCTTCAAGTTCCTGACTCAGTAAAGGTAAGCCTCTGAGCCTTGCTTCTGCGCTTCTGCTGTGACGCTACTCTCTCGTGCTGATTCAGCATGTTTTGCCAGCCCTTCCAACTTGCAATGGGCCCACGTGATGGCCGCCCGCATGTCGCGACCGTCCATTATGAAGGTTTAAAGCACCATGACGTCCGTGACATTCCCGTGCATGATGCTGCTGGCACTAAACATGCAAGTTGGAAGAAGCTGCGTGCGCTGAAAGGTACGACCGTGACAAAACCGTGAGATGTGATGATCGGAATCAGATTCACGCAGGCGCGGGCGGTCGCGCGTCGGCAGTTCCAAGTCGCAGGGTTTTGCTTTCCGAACCCCAACGGCCTGGCAAAGTGGCCTCAACAATGGACTTCAAGGGTACAGACTACAGTACTACATTACTGTAGCGAGCCTTCCCCAGGATCGGCTGGCCCGTTTGGCCTTTGAAGAGTCGAGGGAAATGTGGGCAGCAAACAAGGGCGGGTGGTACGCGAGGATCGTAGAAAAAGCTTGCGAACTCGTGTCAGCAAACGAAAGTACAGGTGTTCTGGACTTAGCTTTGCTTCAAGAGAGGTCTGAGATGGCATATATGCAGGACCCGAGGGAGGGTTATGGCCGAAAGTTCTGCACGTACTTTGGTGAAGTCAAGATCGGCTACTCCTTTGAGCCTTTCATTAGATCAAATAGGCGTCTCCGCGCACTTTGCAACCCTAGCCAAATTCAGAGTGGGAGCACACAAGCTCGCTATTGAATCAGGGAGTTGGCAAGGGATTGCTCGCGATGAGCGACATTGCCAGGTCTGTAAGTCGGGAGCAATAGAGACGGAGAGTCATTTTGTATATGATTGCTCGGGTTATAGTGACATTCGAACGACCTTTCAGTTTCTATTCGAGGACAGACGACATAGAGACTTGAAAGCTTTTCTTAACTTGCAGGACACATATGTGGTAGGTAAATTCGTGCATCTTGCTTTAGATAAGCGAGCTAGCGTAATAGGACAATCGTCGACTTAGCCGATCACGGCTCCGAACCGACGCTAATCAAACAATAACAATAACAATAACATTGTCGTGTTGAGAACTTGTCTTTTGGACTTCGAGCTTTCTGTCTATGGCCGGCACAAACGATCTCTATCAGGAGAGCCCGGTTCGAAACCTTGCATATGCGGCCCCCAAACACCGTACATGCGGGTCTGACATTGAGCTAGCTGGTTCTGTTGAACTTACACCATACACTTCAAAAATGCATTAAAACACACTGGCACGTGCTTCACGCAGCAAACGTAGACATGATGATGGGTGAGGCCGCCGCCCTCATATATTTCTAGGAGGGCGTTTTTGATCCTTCAAGTTTCGCGGCTGCCATAAGCCATCTAATCTATGGCGTGGCGCGCTTGCAGACGCATGAAGCCGCACTACTCGGGCGCGCGCATGTGCCCCAACACTCATATGCATGATCGCGATCGAGTAGACATGAAACCTAATCTCGCAAAGCTTGAAAGCGGATCTGACTCAGATATGTCTTGTGCAGGAATGTTATACATGTGTACACGTTGAGAAGTCCAGAGTTTTCATGAGAATACGTTTTCTGACTATACATGATCAACGGTCCTGGCGGCCTGTGCGCGCCAGCGCGATACATAAGTTGGTAGGTAAGCAAACGTACGAACATGCGGGCGGAGTTCGATTTCCGAGTGACTGGCGCGGCACTGCAACGGTGACCGTACAATCTCATTTCGTGCTGCCGCTTTCGTACCGCATATGAGCAGCAGCTGTCCGACTTAATTCATGGCATTCTCGAATCCATCAGGCTAGATGCATGCAATGAAAGTAGCAAGGCAGCCGGTATAGGAGATGGCATTGATATCAGTATTTTGAGAGCCTGTGAGTTAGAGCCAAAAAGGCAAAATCAGCCTCTCTAAACGCGGCAATGTTCAATGTTGCGAGACAGACAACGAGTTTGCAGTACGCTTTGAAAGCTCCAGGCTTGTTGGCCTGCTCTTGTTCGCCCAGTAGGTTCACCAATGAATCACTTGGCCCTCTTCGAAAAAAGCTCGAAGCATCGTCCTGTGCTTATAAGGTGCCATTGGCTAGTGTACAAGCAGAACAGATATGATCTATTTACAAAATGCTCATCCGAAAGGCATCAGATCGGCTCGTCGAAGGATCGCACCCTGAGCGCCATGCAGAAGACCTCTCAGGACCGCCACTGCAGACCCTCTTGATTTTATGTCACCAATGCACCGCAGGGGCTGCCGGGTCGGGCCAAGCTTTGGAGCCAGACCTCGTCTGACGTCACCGTCACCTCATCCTGGTTCCGGTGCCATCTCCAGACGGCATGGGTGCTGTTCGCCAGCTCGAAAGCGCCGTAGCCGAAACTGGCCTCGCGCCGGAGAGAGATGGACGGCTGTGGGTCGAGGTACCTGCAAAATGAGCCGAAATGCACTTCGTTCGGTTCTGGTTGTCTACACTTTGCTGTGATTGGGTGGACAGCTAACCAAACTAATCGTCTATCTTGTGGAGGGTCCTGCACTTCCGCAAGGTGAGGCGTTTGTCAACCTGTGCGAGTAAGGCGGGTCCAAGCTCAAGATGCAGAACAACAGCCGCCGGGGTTCGCAAGTGCGAAAAAGTGGCGGAAAGAGGATGCCTTGGAGGTAGACACAATCGGCAGAGGACCATGTCTTTGGCTGAGTGCGGAAAAAGTATATTGATGACGGCAATCAATCCATAATGTCGCTTACTTGGTCGCGAGGCCTTCTCTGTTGCCTCCATCCCCGACAACAATGTAAACGGGCCCGCACTTGTCGGCCTTGTCCTCAAAGACGCGATCCTGCAGCAGCGAACCGGCAGGCTCAGTCACAGACTCCTCGCTTGCAGACATGAAGTCTCCTCCAAAACCTGATGAACCAGGAAGCGAGTACAAAACGAAAAATGACAAAGCGGCGAAGAGTCGAAAAAGGTTTGGAAAGGGCTCGAAGGCGTGTTCATGAAGGATGACGAAAATTGGGCCGAACGGCAAAGTAGAGGGAATCCACCAGTCTCAAGGCGCTCCCACAACATTCGTAACATGCTTATTTAGAAACCACTGTCGCTTCGAGAACGACAGCGAAACGATGGGATACACGACGGAGAAGCTCACGAAGCGCTCGTATGCGTGCACGTGGCCGCTGAACACGATGTCCACGCGCGCCGAGTAGAGCAGGCCCTCCATGGCGGCCTTCATCAGATCGCCCTCGCCCTGGTGGGCGAAATTGGAGTTGTACCTGCAGCACCGTACAGCCGAGGTTAGGCGCAGTAAGGCAACCACCCGTGCTTTGTCTTCTAGGTGTTGTCCAGAGATCAGGACGCGACCATAATTCTCAAGACAAGGGCAGCACGAACCCCCTGGTGCGAGAAGTTGGAGTTGTGCCTGCATCGAGCCGCGTGTGGACAGTGAGGCAATGACCCGTGCTTCATGTTCCAAGAAGAAGGGAAGTGGTGAGAATCTCAAGAATGGGAAGCATCAGGGAGGTCGAAAAGCAGGAAGCTGACAGAGAGCGGTGAGGCAACACGACATAATCTGCGGCACAGAACAAAGGAGACCCGGAGGGAGGTGATTCAAGAATAAGAGGAACAAAACGGGAAGAGAAGTAGTGAGGAGATCAGCGGGTGCAATCGCAAGACTTCTAGCCGAGAAGGAGGGGAGCGACAAGAACAGGACACACGTGAAGCGCAACACGGCTTTCCGATCGAGCTCGTCCTAGCAGCGCCTTGCGAAACCAAGTCCCGTCGACGACCACGAAGCACGACGCTCTGGTTGGCAAATCAACAACGTCAAGAGGGAGCAGAGAAACGCCACTAACGGAGCAAGACTCTTGGCCTTCGCAAGGGCCACAGAAGTATTCTTGAGAAACTTTAGGGGGTCGGTAGCGAAGCTTCCCTGTCTCCCTGTACCTTCTCGGTTTCGTGCAGGCAATCACGGGGCTGGAGCAAGGGCTTACCAGGGGGCATGGAAAACAGCGATCAGCCAGGGGGTCTTGGAGCGGTCGACCTGGCTCAGATCCTCCTGCATTCGCATGGAAGAACGGGTCAGACAACCATGCGGAACGCAAAACTTTGACGCGAAAGCGGAATGTCTTGGAGGAAACTCATAGCAGAAGTGCATCCAGTGCACTGAAATTGCAAGAAAGCCAACACCAGGTCACACGAGCCCACCCGCAGAAGGGAAGTGGATAGACTCGAAGGAGCGAGTACACCTTCAGCTTGTTTCCAGTTCAGGACCACCTTGGAACGTGTTCTCACAGGACCACAAGGTCGCATCGCGGCAACTTGCAGAGCATCAATCATTCCCCCTATTGATATCACTGACAAACGACCTGTCGTGCCGGAGCAGGCACGTCTTTGAGGTATCAAACAGGGTGATCGCTCAAATCTACGCGAGTCAGATCAGAAACCTGCTTTGCAGGCAGTTCACTTTCCCTGTCCGAATGCCGAGCATGTCATACCTCAAGCCACTTGTACTGCGGGGACCCCGGGTGGTACTCGGTATACGACCCCAGCATAAGCACGTGCGCGCCAGCTGCCTCAAACGAGTAGTACAAGTTCGAATCCGAACCGCTCTCCCGGAAGGGCATTGGATAGCGCGCGTTGTATGCGGTAAAAGGAGTGGGGAGGTTGAACGCGAGCGTCTCGATCTCGTGGTTGCCCTCTACAGACATGAACGGTGCGCGGCTGAAGACGGGCTCGACCAAGCGGCCCCATGTGTCCCAACGGGGCTGATACCTGTTCGGGAACGGCGTCTTCAGAAACTCATTTTCCGTCAGGAATGATGATCCGAAAAGGAATACCATCAAAAAATCGGGACCAGAAAGTAAAACCAGGAGGCTCTGTTGCAAAGAGGCATAGAAGTCGTTGACAACCAGAACGCCACTTCATGGATTGACCAGACGAATCTTGCTTCAGAACAGTACCCCCAGCAGTTTGGTGGTCCAAACAAGCTCTTACCTATCTGCATAAGACAGGTCTCCCGCCAGGATAACCATGTCATATTCGGTCTTGCTGATGTGCCCCAGGGTGCTCTGTGACCACTCTGTCTGGCCCAGATCACCTGCAAGGACCACAAACTTGTCAGCTTTGCAAGTAGTAAGTCGACCACAGTGTTGTGAGCACGGTTCTTTATTTAGGCCAAGATTCTGTCAATTGGGCAATGCTGATTTAAAAAGACGAACACGAGTGCAAGAATTCCCCCAATATTCCAGCGTCAAATTGAGCTTAATGTGGAGGACCACTCGCCCCAACCCTTCTGTTCAATAGCGGACCTTATCATGTAGTAGAACCTCATGTCTTTAAAATTGGCTCGTCTGAAGGTTGCAGTTTATGTAATCCTTAGCAATCAACAACATAACCAATGTCCGCAGCCCGCGACCTCACCGATCACAACAAACTTGAGCGGCACATCTGGGCCCTGGCTGGGCAGCGTCTTGAAGCTGAGCTCCTTGCTGATCTTGGAATTCGGGTCGCCAACCCGATAGTAGTACGTCGTATCCGGCAGCAGACGCTTTTTGTCCCCCAGAGTCACATGGTGGATGCGCCCTGACTTGTACGAGATGGTGTACCCATATGTCTCAGACACCCCTGTGGCCTCGTTGGAGTACTTCTCAGGCTCGGTGGAGTACATGACAACCGACTTGGTCTTAGTCCGGCTGGGGACGATCCATGTGACACTGACCTGGCCGGGTTTGACGTGCGTAATGTGCACCTGAGAGTAGAAGGCAAAAGCCTAAATGTGTTACTACTCCTTGAGTTATTGCGCTATGAGGCGATTGTGGGGAAGAGAGCTCCATGCATCTTCTGGAGGGTGAGAAACCTGGCTCGATATGCTGTGTGACCTTCTTCAGGATTGAAGCAGAGAGATTTCACACTTTCTTTGGCAAGTGTCTCATTGTTGTATTGAAATGCCATCACTGGAATCAAGGCCCTGGGCGAGGCCTGACTATTGGGACTCCTGCAATTGCTGGAACGCACATGCCTTTGCGAAGCCTAAAATATCATGATCATTGATGTTTACAGAAAACAAACACTGGACTTGTGGCTCCGCTTGATCCCGATTCTGAAACAACCTCGCAAGCTGTGGGAATAAAGAACCAGCAAAGGGGGCATAAGAGTGGTGAGCAAAGAAACAAGAGTGACTCGCAGCTCAAATGTATTTGGCCATACAATTCACTTTGAGATAACCCTGTAGAACGGCCGCCAACTTGGGACAGGAAGGTTCAATGAGTATGAGTGGGGCCGGAAAGAAACGACCCAACACCACTGCTTCACTGTCAAATTAGCTTGAGTGCTTTCCACAGCTTACCTGCTCGGGCTCATCCGCATCTTTCCTCCACTTGCGCCATCCAAACCAGAAATTCTTCGAATCCCAGTCGCGAGGGTTGATATCGGGCTTTGCAGCAGGACGAACGTAATCATCCTGGGACAAAGCAGTTGCCAGCATGAACTGAAGCAGGCAGGTCAGCAGTACGGGCATCAGCACTCTGCTTGCCTTAGGCACACTTGAGCCCGCCATGGCAACGAGTGCGCCCCCAGCTAAAGTCTTAGACAAGTTTGTGCCCCGTTTGTGGAGGGAGCCTCAGGCTAGGCCGGCTCGTGCAAAAGATTCTCAAGGTGGGGAATCGCTGAAACTAGAGACGGTCGAAACCCGCTATGTAGCGTTAAAGGCTGAATGAATCAACTCTCAACTGGGGGCATTCTGTTACCGGTGTATAGCACATGCTAGTTGTGTGAGCCCTTGGGCGGACGAAAAGAGAAGGAGTTGTGCACCTTGGCTTCATTCTCTCTCGGAGTCTCTCTCGAAGTTTACAGTACGTATAATATTAAGGTTTATGCATGCTTTCTTTCACACCTGCTTCAATTCTCTTTGCCACCCAGCATTTGGTGCCCAAGAACCCTTTACGTGGTTGAAGACAAAGGGGTTAGCTCCCCATGCAGGCCCATCTTTTCAGAACAGCTGCCGGGGGCTCCGCTTTGCACGTGGCGAGGCCTGCCCCCAAAATTACAAAAGCTTATGAAGAGCAGGTCGGCCTAGAGGCAAGATGGGGTGCAAAGAATGCACAGTTTAAACCAGTTTCCTCTCGTTTCTTTCCGGAGCGGTGTGCAACTTCACACCAGGACAATTTCTGTGAAGGTCGCAATTCCAGCACGCTTAGTTTTGCTGGCAGTGAAGGGTTGCAGTATGTTGGTGGGAGGACACGGCACTCATGCCAAGCTGTGGCAGAGGCGGGGCCTGCACAAACATCAAGCGAAGAGGAGGCCAGTGCGGGCGAGTCTGGCAGCAACGATGGCCTGTACAAACCGTTTGTTGAGTATGCTGTGAAGGCCTTGGGGGAGAAGATGGAGCTGTGGCCATATCCAATCAAGGTGAGACAGTGGTACGCTTTTTAATTGGTCTGTTCCTAATATGATTGAATGATCGAATTCTTGGTGATCCCCCCCTTTTGGTTCGCCGCAAAACTAGCTTTTGTTTTTGGAGCTCATAAACAAACTTTTGAAAAATCCAACTTCCCCTTAAGTCTAGAATTGGCATGAGCAGTGTCTCAGTCTCTTTTCTTATCTGCAAGCTAGGGGCCACAGCTTTGGCTTCATTCATATTCTAATTATGTTCAGTTGTGTTGCCAATCGGAGAATGTCTTCCCTTTCAGCCAATAAGGGCCCCTGTCAATTGACATTCGTGTTGTTGAAGCGGTTTTCAAGAGTCGTTCTCTATGACAACCACATCAGAAGACATATGCACCGCAGAAAGGCTACGTCCAGCCCCTTTGTGATCTATTCCAAGGGCACTTGATGTGAGTTGACCTCGTTCCTTGTGAAAGTGCAGGAAGAGTTCATCAGATTGGAGGCAACTGACAGCAAAGGCCAAAAAGCTGTTACTGACAGCACATACTTGCAATCCCACAAGTTGCGGCAAATGCGGGCCTGCAACATTCAGGCGGGCAATAATCTCCAGGTAAGCACAGGCAATTCCGTTGGCAAGGCTTGTGTTGTCCGGACATCAAAGAATGTATGGACAATGATTTTTCTGTGGAAACGTGTCCAGAGTGACTGCTCATTAGGCCCCCAAAATTGTGTATAGTGACTGCTCATTAGGCCCCCAAAATTGTGTATAGCGTCAATAAAGTTGACGGCGAGGCCACTTGTGATCCATCATAGAGGCGAGTCCTATCTCATACTCTCACGTGAGGTGACTTGAAGTAAGAATGCAATTACCAGGCGGTTTGACGCGCTTCTTCAAGCTATTATGTTGTCTATGCAGGTGTTAAACCTGATTGCCTTTCCTCGTCCTGAGTACGACCTCCCCTACTTCTGTGCGGATCTTGTCACCCTCCCACGGGGTCACCTGCAGATTTTGTGAGCTGCAGCTCTTTTATCTGTCACTTCCCCTTTACAGCGCTTCCTTGTTCGAATGGTTCTTCCTCTGCCTCACTCTCAGCAAATAGACTGTGCTAGATGCTTTGTATCAACGATGCTTCCTGTGTTCCAAGGTCCTTGCTTTCTGACCTTGCACTCTTCTGCTCTGTCCAGGGACCTGAACCCCCTACATAAAACGCCCGAGCACTTTGAGAAGCACATCAAGCCGCTCTTGCCCATTACTAACCGGTATATTAAGGTAGGTGTTTTCACTCCCCAGTAGTGACAGCGAACATTCTTAGCCGGGGTCAGTGACTCGTGCTGCGTGTTCGCAAGGCCCAGACTGTTCCGTACTCACCACTGCAGGACCTTTTTTGAGGCTCCCTTCGTGCCGGATTGGAGGATGGCAGTGACGAAAAGCAAAGTTTCCTTTTTCGCAAGCTTTGGTGGCGCAACCTGTGCTTCTCGGCTTCTATCGGGATCCACGAACTGCATAGGTACAGAAGCCTTCTTCTGCAGGGATTGTGGTGCAGACGTTGCGCTGTGCGACAGGGAACCATGCACGTTTCTTTCCGCAGGTCCTGCCCTGGGGTGGAGAGTTCACAGCGGAGTCTCTCCAGTTCTTCTCGCCTGCGCTGCTGTGGACGAGGCCCAGCGACCGGACCACCGTCCAGACAGTCATCTTCGAAGCTTTCAAGGAGTACATAGACGTGAGCCACCGGCGCATCCTCTGGGCAGCTTTGCGGAGCCCTATTGTTTCATGTTGAGCGCTGCCTTCAGATTGAACACATGTTCTCTTTGTAAAAAGTTTGGAGATCTGTTGACCGACTAAGTTCCGAACCGTTTCAGGTCTTCCTACAATCTGATAGTTATGCAAACTCGAGCTCTATTCTGTCGACTGAATTCGTATCTGCTTGATGGCTCAGATGATCCTATTCAACGTTCGGAAAGCATCTACGACAGTGCGAAAATGAACTCCTATGCTTACCTGAAGAAGCTCCCCATGAAAGCGGTGGCCTCCCTTAGGCTGGGTCTGAGCTCTCCGCACAAAACGCCACCGGCTCTGTCGAGGGTGACCCGCAAATGGCCTGACAACATCAAAGCATTATCGGGTCATGTTTCGACTGGCAAGTTCGTCGGCTGCCTAATAGTCGGCGGATAGGATGGAGAGCACCGGGAGAAACAGCTGCGTCTTCTTAAACGCTGACTTCTTAAATCGCTGATCAAAAACACGCGTGCATCTTCCAGGCGTACGCTGAGATGGTCGCGAAGGCCGTCCCGACCACAGATCCGGTAGAGATTGCACGCAACAGGGAAGCGCAGCACAAGTACGTCTGCTGGCGGGCAGAGAAGGTGAGCCGTTTCTCTGTTCTTCCGGAGATTCCTGTTTGTTGGGCAGATTGCGAATCGTGAAACGGCTTTGCGGTGCGCCTGAAGGCCGACGGGGTTGCTTTTACGAAACTCTCAGTTCCCAGAAAGTGGACTTTTGTTAAGATTGACCAGGCTAGCGTGGACGGGAAGGTAATTCTGTAACGAAAAGCGCTTGTCTACGGTTTATCGATCGCGTAGCTCGTTCATTTCTGCCGATGTTTCGTTCGGTTTCGCTTTCTCCTTTACGTTTTGTCCTTTTCGGAAAGAACACGACCACACGAGATTAATCTCGGTTTTCACCCAAAAACGGTTCTCGTCTTTCCTGACTGTATCAGTGAGACGTCTTTTGACTCTGTGGGCACCATGTTGATCTGTACTTTCAAACTAACTGACTGTATGCTTCCCATCTCAAAACTTTGCTGTCAAGCCGAGCCACACGTTTGCTGCCGCGTATGAGGAAAGTTCTTTAGTACTCTCACGTCACAAGCGCACTTTCCTGGAGCCGAACGGCGCACAGCTGGCATAAAAGCTTTTGTCAAGCTCGGTGACGATTGAGCTGCATCTCCATCCATTGGAAACCCGCACTGTTCTCACTATTTTCTGGTCCGCGTGGTGTAGGATCCCGGGCGACCAACCATCACGAGATTATACGGGACGGAGCTGTGCGAGGTGAGCGAATGGTCCCCTCCGAAATGGATGACTACAACGCTTGCCTGATTGCAAGACTGATTGGGTAGCAATGACCGAATTACGACCGTATGGTGCGAGATTTTGAGGCATATTGCGCGCGGACACGTCATTCTCTTCAAACTTTCCTTGTAGAAAGGATTGGAAACCACTTTGGAAGGGATGACATCTGCCTCTTTGCAGCGTGAATGCAGGCCGGATCGCTTGTTGATGGCTGCACGTATTCAAAAAGCAGCCTGCGAAAGACTGACGCTTTGTAAACTTCTCTGTTTTCAGGCTTACATACACGGGTTTTTGTTCGATGGCATGAAGGAGCTGGGCAGCAAGTCCTTCCTAGATTACTTTCCAGAATACCGAGGGCCAGACGGCAATGTTATCAAGAAACGAAGTGTAGTCGGTAAAAAGTGTGTAACAAGGCCGTGGGACCTTGATGGGAACTTCATCCCTCCAACGTGAGTCAGGTTTTTCAATATTTGTTGGAGTTGCTTGCCAGAAAAAAAACGGCATCCTGCTCTTACACTTTCTTCGGTGACTCAAAGACTCGAGGCGACCTTTGAAGAGTAGCTTGCGCTTTTGCATAGGCCTGCCATGCTTTTCAATGATGTCAGGCGAAGGGATTACTGGGAAGCCAAAGCGGAGCTAGCCACCATGTGAGACTTTCAGCAATCATAATTGGACCATGATCATTCATGTAACATGCTAGGCGGCATGTATCCAGGTTTGCATACAGGTCGGGCCGTGGTGGAACTAATTCATGAGAGATTTCCGGAGGTGATTGCATGAATCTGACACTATGACGCAGGGACGGGCCGCTCAGTCATTGAAGATAGCTCGCTTCTGGCATCATTACTGCCATGCCGGTGCTCCTGGATTGTCGCGTTTTTGAGAGCACGTTGCACATGCATGTGTGCTATACTTACTGGAGCGCAACAGCTAGGCAAAGATTTGAGATGCAGGCTGTAAGTAAAACATACATGGGACTCAAAGTTTTTAAGGAAGATGTGTGGAGATGAATGGTCGTTCAATGGCCGAGTCCGGTGGCAGCAGCCAGCTTCATGCATGACGCATTTAGCCCCAACAAATCATGCCGAAAAATTGACGGATCATGGATGGTCTAATGATTAGACTAATCGTTCAGCCAACTGTCGATCGAACGGCCACACAGCGACGCCCCCGTTAGCCTGAGGCGGGCAAATTGGCGGGTAAAGAGCTGGAGCCT